TGTTATATTTATGAGAGGTGTTATGGTGGTGCTATAGTTATGAGAGCTGTTATGATGGCGGTATGGTTGTGTTATAGTTATGAGAGGTGTTCTTGTGGTGACAGGTGTTATGGTGGGGACGGGTGTTATTGTGGTGACAGGTGTTATTGTGGTGACAGGTGTTATGGTGGTGTTATAGTGTTAATATAGTTATGAGAGGTGTTATGGTGGTGACAGGTGTTATGGTGGTGGTATGGTGGTGTTATATTTATGAGAGGTGCTATGGTGGTGACAGGTGTTATGGTGGTGCCATAGTTATGAGAGCTGTTATAATGGCGGTATGGTTGTGTTATAGTTATGAGAGGTGTTATGGTGGTGGCATGGTGGTGTTATAGTTATGAGAGGTGTTCTTGTGGTGACAGGTGTTATGGTGGGGACGGGTGTTATTGTGGTGACAGGTGTTATGGTGGTGACAGGTGGTATTATGGTGGTGACAGGTGTTATGGTGGTGACAGGTGTTATTATGGTTACAGGTGTTATGGTGGTGTTATAGTTATGAGAGGTGTTATTTTGGTGACAGGTTTAATGGTGGTGACAGGTGTTATTGTGGTGACAGGTGTTATTGTGGTGACAGGTGTTATGGTGGTGTTATAGTTATGAGAGGTGTTATACCTTCGGGACTCCCGCCCCAAGCCGGTGAGTGTCCTTCGGGACTCCCGCCCCAAGCCGGTGAGTGCTGGGTGATGAGTGTTAGCTATACGCAAACCCAGCTGAAAGTCACCCACGCACCCACTCACACCCGATGAAAAGTCATACACATATCCCATTGAGAACCATACACACTTCTTAGAGCCAGCAACACGCACCTGAGAGCCAGCAACACGCACCTGAGAGCCAGCAACACGCACCTGAGAGCCAGCAACACGCACCTGAGAGCCCGCAACACGCACCTGAGCGCCAGCAACACGCCCCTGAGCGCCCGCAAAACGCACCTGAGAGCCAGCAACACGCACCTGAGCGCCAGAAACACGCACTTGAGCGCCAGCAACACGCACCTGAGAGCCAGCAACACGCACCTGAGCGCTACGCATCTCAGCCAATGAGCTTTAAGTGCCTCGGTTGCTTCCACCAATCACAGTCGAGCTCGCGATCTCTTGTACAGGCATAAGTTTACGTGGCCTAATTGAACAGAATGCGCTGTGTAGGCCCGATAGTTCTGCCTCTTCTTTTATGAACAACGGCTTCCTGAAGATCGTAAATTAATATCTTTTAATGAATTTATCATAATTGAAGAGAGGCATTTATTATTATTGATATTTTTTCTTATAAAGGTTGAGGCTGCGTTCGCTCACTGCCATGGTTCTCAAAATATCTACCAAGATCTGCAGCAAAGCTAACAATTTTTCAAACCAACCGCGAATCAGAGATATACGATTAACGTAGCACTCATGATTAACGTAGTTCTTACGATCGACGTAAATCTTACGAGTAACTGACGTTAAAATATAATAAAATATGAACCACGTGCTTCATAAGAACCACCTGCCGCTGACGCGTTTCATAATAAAAACCACCTGCCGCTGACGCGTTTCATAGGAACCACCTGCCGCTGACGCGTTTCATAAGAACCAGCTGCCGCTGACGCGTTTCATAAGAACCACCTGCCGCTGACGCTTTTCGTAAGAACCACCTGCCGCTGACGCGTTTCATAAGAACCACCTGCCGCTGACGTGTTTCAGATGACATGGAAATATAAGAGTTTTTTATCCGCCCTGATCGAGGGCTTCGAAGAAAGGCAGTGTATATCATCTGAGTTAATAAGAACGTCTTTGTGTGAATCAGTAATTGATTACTACAATTAACTCACATTGCCTAGATACTCACAATATATAAGAACTCACATTGTCAAGCCCTCACATTCTCAAAGCGCATTCTTAATGAACTCACATTCTCAATGAACCCACAGTCTCCAAGAACTCACATTCTCCAAGAACTTACATTCTTCAATAATTCACATTCTTCAAATATTCACATTTTCCAAAAACTTCATAATAAAAAGTAGAAACTGTATTACACAGTCGAGAAACGTCCTTGTAACGGCCATGAACTTCTTCATCCTCTATAACCTCTTTGACAAGTAAAGTCCCTATCGAAACATTGCACATTTCCCACATTCAGAACATTGTTCTCAAGAGAACGGGATTCTTGTTCTCTCGGTGCCGAATGTCTGGGGAAATGCTCACTAATTTTTCACTCCAAAACTCCGGCAAAAGTTAGACCGACGTCGCCTTCTGACTCCAGAAACTTCACTTTTTCTTTGTGTTTTGTGCAGTCTTCTGTGGTTATTTGCTTAGCCTTCACAGATACGACCTTCCTTTGTAACTTTTGAATCTGTTTCTTTACTTTTGAATCTTTTTTTTTTACTTTGAATTTTTTTTACTTTTGGATCTATTTTTTGACTTTTGAATCTGTTTTTTTTACTTTTGAATCTGTTTTTTTACTTTTGAATCTGTTTTTCGACTTTTGAATCTGTTTTTTGACTTTTGAATCTGTTTTTTTTTTACTTTTGAATCTGTTTTTTTTTTACTTTTGAATCTGTTTTTTTGACTTTTTAATCTGTTTTTTGGCTTTTGAATCTGTTTGATTTTACTTTTGAATCTTTTTTGACATTTGAATCTGTTTGACCCTTGGCCTTCTAGTTCATTCCGCGCTCCTAAGCCTCTATGGAGTCCTACACGTGGCAAATTCTTCTTTACCGTCCAGAAAATGACCCTTGGCCTTATAGTTCATTTCGTTTTCCTGAGCCTCTATGGAGCCATACGCATAAAGAATCCTTCTTTACCGTCCAGAAAACTTATCATGCTTTTGAGGTTAGAAAACACGATTGAGCCTCGCAACAGCAGCAGTGAATCAACATCCAACACATCCTCCGCCTGAAAAATGCCGCCTCCTGAAGACCGCAGATAAGAAAGACCTTAAGATGGACGGCCTTGAAGGGTGGCGGTCACACTCACCTATATACGCTCTCAATACCCTTCACACGAAGGCGACTCCTTCACACGCCGGCGACCCCTTCATACGCTGGAAACTCCTTCACACGCTGGCGACCCCTTCACACTTTGGCGACCCCTTCGCACGCTGGCGACCCCTTCACACGCCGGCGACCCCTTCACACGCCGGCGACCCCTTCACACGTTGGCGACCCCTTCGCACGCTGGCGACCCCTTCACACGTTGGCGACCCCTTCGCACGCTGGCGACCCCTTCACACGCCGGCGACCCCTTCACACGTTGGCGACCCCTTCGCACGCTGGCGACCCCTTCACACGCCGGCGACCCCTTCACACGCCAGCGACCCCTTCACCCGCTGGCGACCCCTTCACACGCTGGCGACCCCTTCACACGCCGGCGACCTTTTCACACGCTGGTGACCCCTTCACACGCCGGCGACCCCTTCACACACTGGCGACCCCTGCACACACTGGCGACCCCTTCATATGCTGGCGACCTCTTAACACATCGGCGACCTTTTCACACGCTGGTGGCCCCTTCACACGCTGGCGACCCCTTCACACGCTGGTGACCCCTTCACTCGCTGGCGACCCCTTCACATGCTGGCGACCCCTCCATACGCCGGCGACCCCTTCACATGCTGGCGACCCCTTCACACGCTGGCGACCCCTTCACACGCCGGCGACCCCTTTACACGCTGGCGACCCCTTCACGCGCTGTCGACCTCTTCACACGCCCCCCCCCCTCACACAGCTTCGAACCCCTCCTCACCCCACACGCCTCCCCCTCTTCACTAAGTAAGCTGCCGCGCTGGCACAAAGAACAGCGAGCCTGCGACTTCTGCAGTGCCGACGCTTGTGAATAGTTGAACAGTCAGACTCAGGCTGCAGACTTGCACGAACCATCGCACCATTCTACCATCGCACCATTCCACCATCGCACCATTCCACCATCGCACCATTCCACCATCGCACCATTCCACCATCGTATCATTCAGCAATCGTACCATTGTACATTTGCGCCAAAGAACCCATCGAGCATTTGAATCATCTGGCATATCATTGTACCCTTATACCATTTGACCATCCCACCATTGAACCATCCTAGCACCAGACTATGTTAATCGCGTCATGATTACCACCCGTAAACCGTACGAGGGAAAATGGTGATGTCAGGTGATGGTGATGTCAGGTGATGTTGTGGCTCATAGCAAAGCTCAAAGCCGCGCCGTGTTCAAGACGCATAAAAAAGTCAGCGCCGCGTGAGACTTTTTTCAGAAATTTCTCTCTTCATTTCGATCGAAGGCCATTCGACATCCAGCCGGGAGCTTGAAACGTCGGCAGTTGCGTCGGCCTTATAACTGGCAGACGGTAGCCATAAACTGTCATAGGGTAGCCTTAAAGAGGTAGCCATATATGATTAAGAAGCGGACTACAAGCCCTCCCCCCTTTTTCTTCTTCCTCTCCTCGGGAGCCGAACTCGGAAGCGTTATTTCAAGCGATTGGTCTAGATGCAACCACAGGGTTAAGGGCTCACTTACCAACATGGGGCTGCCACACGATCAATTAGGGTCAATGAGGAATGTCGGCTGATTAGAATTGGTAATTTGTACCCCCTCGCTACCCCTGCACCATGATACCACCGCAGCAGCAGACCACTGTCATACCATAACTCCATCCCATGAGTGGGGATGAGGCTAGATACGCTCTGTTCACGAAACTCTTTCCCCTCCCCCCTGAAGTGACTGTCATCACTATTTATGCATTATATCTCGGTCCACTCTCACCACCCTATCTTCCTCCACAGGACCGTCCGTCATCACTCGTGATGCATTACATCTCGGTCCCCTCTCACCACCCTATCTTCCTCCACAGGACCGTCCGTCATCACTCGTGATGCATTACATCTCGGTCCACTCTCACCACCCTATCTTCCTCCACAGGACCGTCCGTCATCACTCGTGATGCATTACATCTCGGTCCACTCTCACCACCATATCTTCCTCCACAGGACCGTCCGTCATCACTCGTGATGCGGGATCTGTTGCTGTGTGCCATCGACGTTGCCAAGGGCTGCGCGTACCTCGAGGAGAACCACTTCATCCACCGCGACATCGCCGCCCGCAACTGCCTTCTGACCACCCGCGGTCCCGGCAGGGTCGTCAAGATCGCAGACTTCGGCATGGCCCGTGACATCTACCGGTGAGTGGTGGGGACATGACCCGTGACATTACCGGTGAGTGGTGGGGACATGGCCCGTGACATCTACCGGTGAGTGGTGGGGACATGGCCCGTGATATCTACCGGTGAGTGGTGGGGACATGGCCCGTGACATCTACCGGTGAGTGGTGGGGACATGGCCCGTGACATATACCGGTGAGTGGTGGGACATGACCCGTGACATCTACCGGTGAGTGGTGGTTGTTAAGGTTGTGGTTGTTGATTAATCGGAGGGTTGGTTGGTGGTTGATGACGATTGGTTGGTGGAGAATGGATGTCGATTGTAAAATTTTAATATCCATTAGGGACTTAATTTATCAATATTCATTAGGAACTTAATTCAGGAGAACTCAATATCCTTAGGAATTTAATTGATCAATATCCACTTGGAACTTAATTGATCAATATCCATTAGGAACTTAGTTGATCAGCACTGACCAAAGATGGGAGATGATCTATATAAGACCAACGACTATATAGTGGTAGATGACGGTAGTTGAACGTCCAAGGACGATTATTTAGTGTTTTCTTTATTGCAGAAATAATTATCATAATAAATAAATTTTCACTCCAAACCCCTTTGCCTTGATTTTTGTGATTCACCAACTACGAATACATTTTTTGGTCCAGATAATATCCCGACTCGTTGAGTATCGTCGATACGCGCCCGAACAGCATATATTTTTGTTGTGTCAGGCTTCAAAACGCAAAGACTCGGAGATATAAACTTTCGAAAATAGGTTTTCAACAGGTGATTGATGATTACGATTATTTTTAGCGCATTTTCTCATTTATGGGAAAAATAAATGCGCTATTGTGCTCGCCATGTCCGTCCGTCTGTCTCTGTCCGTCCGTGACTTCACGTTTTCGTCGACGAGAAAATGCGCTCTCTGTCACTCACTGCAGTGAGTACTGAGTTATATTTTTTGTGTGATCGATGGAACGTACAATCCGTGAACTTCACTCATTCACTGTCACTACTTTCGTTCCACTGCGTCTCTTCTTCTTTTTTTCAGAGAGTTACCAAAAATGTTAAGAGTCGAACATTTCTCATAGAATAATTTTTTCAACATTTTCTTTTACAAATGTATCTCCCCGTGGGGATTGTAAAAGCAATGCTGCGTATAGCGCATTACTCAGTCCAGCCCCGAGGGGAGAAACGCTCCCGCATAAAACCTCACAGGCTTTGCCTTTGACCGCGAAATGGCGACACTTATTTCCAGCTTTGCAGGGAAGATTTTCTTGAAATATTCTACTTTTGAGGACGTGTGGAATGATTTGAAGCGGAGAATGCCTCCCGATGAAATGATATTCCTCACAAAATGATATTCCTCACGAAATGATATTCCTCACGAAACTATATTCCTGACGAAATTATTTTCCTCACAAAATGATATTCCTCACGAAACTATATTCCTCACAACTCTCTCACATCGAGCTCTCTCGTAACGCGCTTGACTCACTGCCATGGCTATTTCTTTGTTGGCGTTAATTATTCGTTAGTTAGCGCGAGTTAATCCTTATGACGTCTGTTCCTGTGATGTGACATCTCTGTTAAAGCTGCAAGAATTGAAGCTTCCGCTTGAGGCTCAATGGCCGCAGCTTTAATTTAAAACTTCTTTTTTTAGGTGTGACATGAAAGTTCCATCGCCGAAATTTAACCGCAATAGGCACATGTGTTGATTGAAGTTTAAAATCTTGTACATGGGAAACCTTTAAACAGCTTTAATATTCAGTGTTCTGAAATTAATACATTATGGTAGTTACCTGTGACCAGAGCTGGGTACGATGATTGTTGCTGCCAATTTTATCAAAAACGAAGGCTTCGCACGCAAGTAAAAAATACGAAGTCGACCTGCTCGCTTTTTAGGATCATTTTTATAAAACTTTCTAGCAATTTGAGTGAAACTTTTGAGACGTTGATGAATTTTCAAGGGAAGTTCTTGGAAAATTCTCTTGGAAATTTTTCGAAAAATTTAGCAAAATTCGAATAGTAACTTTGAGGGACTTTTGTTGAAATTCAAGGGAAATTTTCGAGGAAGCGCAGCTGTCGCAGCTCGCGCCGCGATCTCGACGTCGCTAAATTAAAAAAAACGTCGCAACTGTGACACGAAAGAGTGGGACTGCGAAGTCCAACTGGGTTGGGACTCGTGGACTGGGACTTGTGTGCTGCAACTTGAAGGCTGGGACTTTTAGGCTCGGATTTTCGGACAGAGCCAAACTGATTTTGTTGGATTTTCTCCTTGGGCCAGCGGATATGGGCTCGAGACGAGCCACGTTTCCGCCATTCGAGAATCGCATTCCTCGTGCGACGAGTTGTCGCTGAGGACATCAATGAACTTGACAAGCTCTTGCCTCGACAGACTCTTGCTGACAGACCATGTCTGTCCGTCCGACAATCCTAACAGGAGTTGTCGGCAGATTTATTCCCTTGCTGGGTTACATAGGAAGCTAAAAAGCAACTCTTAAATAACCGAACGTAGAAATGTGGCGGTAAAGAATCCGCTTCAGTCCCTTTTATGTTCAACCGAGTCCTGGGTGTATTTTAACGATGTTGAACTTCAACGTCTTGTCGCATTAGAATTTTTAATGTCGCCTAATTTTAATGGCACAAATACGAACAACTGATGGTGATTTCTCAAACCAGCGCACTAACTTGCCTTAAAAACACAAGCGCTAACAACTGAACCTCCATCCACCCCACAACTCAGGACATGGAGTGCGTGGGCACTTTCATTATTTATTATCCTGGTCTTTTAAGCACCCAGCAGAAGCAGTGCGTATTTGATTCTCATTTCCATGTCTTTGTTGTCGAGTTATTTTAGGAACAAATTACGCATGCGCTGTTGAAAAATAATGAATGAAATTGATGAGGCCATTCATACGTGCTAATGAGGAGACGACGCGAGCACAGTTTTGTACGCGCAACTTATTATGTTTAAGTTCATAATTGCCGTTCACTTAACTTGAACTTTAAATTTCAGTTTATATTTTACTTAAAGCAAAAATTGAGTTACCATGCCACTAAACATTTTGATTGTACGCGAAGAAAGTGCTGGAAACAATCTTAAACGAATTTCGAAAGTCAAAAGGCAGATCTAATTTGGATTTTTAAGCATTTGAATTAATATTTCTGCACGCCCAGTGCTGACAGTCACTTGCAATTGTTTTAAAGGGTAATTTAAATCATTGGAATGCATTACTTGGTTAAATGTACGAGTTGTTATTTTTTTGAGGAATATGGTTCGTGAATTCAAAATGAACGGAGACAAGATCGTGGGTAGGAATGTTGTGAATAAGAGGTGAGAAACACGTAAAAAAATTAATTTTCATTTGCACTGAAATGATTCAAACGTGGCAATATGAAAGGGACTATTTTTATCGGTACAAAGAAGCAGGCGGAAAAAAGTGAGGCATCCTGACGGGAGGGAAATGGCAGACCGACGAATTAATTTAAATTTCTCTGTGTACTGAATGCTGGGAATTCCAGAGGGAAATGTAATTTTGAATGTGAACCTTGCAAGCTTTGCCTGTGATACCGAATTGAATGTCATTTAAGTAGTTATTGCATCTATGATACCGCCTAGCTAACTTACGAACAATTCTTATTATATAGAATTTTAAATGCTGATCTTACTGTTACCTACATTTTTGCTCGTTCCGTTTCCAGCCTAAGCTGAAACAAAGTCAAATAAATGCAATAATTTATCAAAAAAATTTTAAGTAAATGGAAAGAAAGTTTTTCTTGCGATAGTATCCGCAATGTCATTTTTATCCGAGTTGCATTTGTCCTGTCTAGTTTTTCAATAGTCACATAAAACAAGCCAGGTAGGAAACAGATTAAAGGAAACGCAACTCTGAGTCTTCGTTGATCTCTTTTCTCTTTATATGTGAAACTGCGGGGCTAATTTTCGCACATCAGCATAAATGATATACAAATTTAGCAATGTTACAAATTATGAAAGCACTGTTTTATAACTAAAACAAATAGGCAAGTGTCAATCGCAAATAAATGGAACGGCATCAACAAAACATAAAACCCATAGTAACTTGCGTGAATTCCGTGCCCTTGTCTATAAATTAGAAAATTTATCAGGCGGGAAACTTAAGCTTACTGTACTCTATCAAGAAAGTAAACAATGTTTTTACTTTAAATTGGAGAACAGATGATTACCTTCAGCAATATATGAACGAGAGATATATTACCTAACGAATCAGCCTAGGGAGTAGTGCATTAAAGGTCTACTCCCATCAACAGCAAATATATAGTAAAGAACGGCTGATGGCCGTGATCCTGAGTACAGGTAATCACCGTAAGGCTACAGTCGAAAAGTACACGTCGCACTAGTAATGGACGCGACAGCATTTAACTTTCCCCTTCTTGCTCAGACGAAATCGTTTTAATGCTTCGATAGATATATCTAGCTGGAATTAAAATGCTGATATGGTACATTGGAATTTTTTCACAACAGCCTGACCTATATTACTATGGTGACAACAACGAGGTTTTGCCTGTGTCCTAATATATGACTTTATTGCACCAACGTTCTTATTTGAGAGCTTTTCTGGACCGAATGGTTCATTGAGAAAGAATTTGCATCGATTGGTGTCTGAAGCGAAGGGTTCTTTGAGATAGGTTTTTCATAGACTGGTTCACTGGTTCCTGCAGCGAAGGGTTCCTTAAGACGGATTTTGCGTCGACTGGTTCATGCAGCGAAGGGTTCCCTACCCCGTGTTTTGCATCGACTGGTTGGTTCCTGCAATGAAGGGTTCCCTACCCCGGGTTTTGCATTGACTGGTTGGTTCCTGCAATGAAGGGTTCACTGCCCCGGGTTTTCCACGACTGGCTCCAGCATTGGAACTTCCAGCGCCGTGAGTCTGAATGCAGTTTTAAGACGGCAATAAAAATGCTGACCGGCGGCGTCATGACGAAGGCTCTGAAGCGCACCATCACGCGCTGCGTGGTGTGATGTGATGGAGGTTATGAGGGTTCATGAATGGTGACCTATAGGGGTGATGAATCATGCATCACTTGCACGTTACCCGTGACAACATTTACTATTGAATTTACTCAGCCTTTACTCTTGAATTTACTCGACATTTATTCTTGAATTTACTTTATTTCCTCATGAATTTACTCGACATTTACTCTAGAATTTACTTAATATTTACGCTTGAATTTGCGAAACATTTCATCCTGAATTTACTCAACATATTCTCTTGAATTAGGTTTCATTGCACGTGAATAACTCATGTGACATGTTGACTATGCAGATAATCTATGTGACTCGTTTACCCACTTTGTTGACCCACTTTTTCTTCTCACAGCAATGACTATTACCGTAAGGGCGGCAAGGCGATGTTGCCTGTCAAGTGGATGCCGCCTGAAGCCTTCTTGGACGGCATCTTTACCAGCAAGACAGACGTGTGGTGAGTAACGTGGGTGTGTGGTGAGTAACGTGGGTGTGTGGTGAGTAACGTGGTGTGTGGTGAGTAACGTAGTGGGTGTGTGGTGACGTGGGTGTGTGGTGAGTAACGTGGAGTGTGGTGAGTAACGTGGGTGTGTGGTGACGTGGGTGTGTGGTGAGTAACGTGGTGTGTATATCAACTAATCGAATTTAGTTTTCAATACCTACATCAAAATATGTATTTTATCAGTAAGTTAGAATAACATCACCTTTTATTTTTAAAAATAAACATTTTTATTATTAGATGAGGTACCCATGTTCTTTTTCAATTCACATTCCAGTTTGGGAATCCATACGATAGCTCGGAAGAGGATATAATGAAGGCATTATCAAATATTAGAAATTGCCTATCCCGAGCAGCACTCCAGGGTTTATATTTTGCTCCAGGATTTATACTCCATAAATAAAAACTCCAGGATTTATATTTTGCCGCGTAATGAATGACTTAAGACGTTGACTACGTATTGGTACATATGCGTACCACGAAATGTATTTCTTCAGGAGGTAGTGGTACATAATTCAGGTTGCCTAAAATCGGCCAAATCCGAGAACGAAAAAAGGCCAAAAAAGGCCGATAATTCAATGTATACTAGTTTATTTGTAGGTTCCGCTATAAAAATTCCATTTATTTTCTTTTTCCAGTATTTAAAATTTAATTAGGAAGTACCCATATCACAAATTTTAGCCGGCCAACGCAATTGAGAAAAATTAAATCACGGAACTTGTCCGTAAAAAATGACCGTCTGGCAACCCTGCTTAAAAAAAGTACAAAAAATAAAATAATAGTACAAGATGAAGCAATCGTAGTCAACGTGCTAAAAAGAGTAACCGCTTACTGCTGTACAGCGTACGCCTAATATGTACGTTGTGAAGGTATCTGGTAAACTGCGCGATGAAGGAAACTAAAGTGTTCGGTGTTGGGCATTTTAAGGCAAACAAGTCAACAGCATACAATCAGGCTACTGTATAATTAAATTATATTTCACTCCTTAACTATATGTATACTTGTACACTGGCATTTAATAATAATTAATATTCTGTTTATTGGGATTTTCCTTACTTGGGGAAAGTTTTATATGACGCAATCCGACGAATGTATGGTATTCCGAATGACGGGATTCCATCAGAAGCACAATTATCTTTTAAGACAAGACAATTGATGTAGCAGCAACACGGAGAATAAGCACTGGAAATTAGGGCCATTCAATGTAGCAATTTCACTCTTACACGCTCTAAAGTAGAATGCTAATACCACCTATTTGGTCGCGCTAGAAAAAATTAACTGGCTTTACGCTAGAAAAATTAAGTGAAACCATTTTACATAGTTTGCTCATGCCACTCGTCTACCTCCATCTGCTCTTCTTTCTTTCTTCATTGTCTTGAGATATCTTCTCTAACTCACTTTCATACCACGACTCACTTTCATTCCACGACTCACTTTCATACCACGACTCACTTTCATTCCACGACTCACTTTCATTCCGCGACTCACTTTCATTCCGCGACTCACTTTCATTCGACGACTTTCATACCAGGGCTTACTTTCATATCACAACTCACTTTCATTTCATGACTCACTTTCATTCCACGACTCACTTTCATTCCTCGACTCACTTTCATTCCACGGATCACCTTCATTTCACGTCTCACTTTCATTCCGCGACTCACTTTCATTCCGCGACTCACTTTCATTCCGCGACTCACTTTCATTCGACGACTTTCATACCAGGGCTTACTTTTATATCACAACTCACTTTCATTTCACGACTCACTTTCATTCCACGACTCACTTTCATTCCTCGACTCACTTTCATTCCACGGATCACTTTCATTTCACGTCTCACTTTCATTTCACTTCTCACTTTCATTCCACGACTTACTTTCATTTCACGACTCACTTTTATTTCACGACTCACTTTCATTCCTCGACTCACTTTCATTCCACGGATCACATTTCACGTCTCACTTTCATTCCACGACTCACTTTTATTTCACGACCCACTTTTATTTCTCGACTCACTTATATTTCACGACTCACTTTCATTCCACGACTCACTTTTATTTCTCGACTCACTTTTATTTCATGACTCACTTTCATTTCACGACTCACTTTTATTTCACGACTCACTTCTATTTCTCGACTCACTTTTATTTCACGACTCACTTTCATTCCACGACTCACTTCCAATCCACGACACACTTTCATACCCTGCCCACTTCAGTACAATTGTTGGTGGTCATCGAACAAAATGTGTTCATCACATGCAGTTATTAACTAATAACTGCATTTGAATAAAGAAAACAACTATACTATTATAACTATAAACATAGTCCTTCCATTAAAGATTCATTGTATGATTGAATATTGTTATGTTTGCGCTTATCCACGATAATTGAAGTCTATTGCTATTCCTTTTTTAAGATTAGTATTTGACGCTAAAAGTAGCTTTTGGTTCAAAAGGCTAGTCTTTGAATTTGCAGGGTAGCCTCTTGCCAAGTTAGCCTTGAAGGTTAGTCTTATGGACGGGATTTGAGTGATGATAAGGCTGGCCGCTGCCCCGCCTTGATCTCCTTGATATTGGAAAGCGCCTTAGCCTTGACCTCCTATGTTTTGTGATGAATTTCAACCGACGTGGAAATTAATCTTTTTTTAATCTTAATCATCATGCCACTATTTATCCTGGTGATTAAATGATGGCAATGATGAATGTAGCACAATGATTGCAGGTTTAATTCGAAGGGATTTGTGTTAGAGCAAATTTTTAATTCTGGATGGCGGGTGTTAAGTACATTTAATTTCAAATGAGAACTCTGTGAAGCGACGTGAATTATACTGGAAATATGAGCTCTCCGAGGAAATGAAACCGCTCGTATCGCGTTAATTAAATTCTGGTAGTGGAAAATAGGGCAGATTTGTTGCTAGCGTGAAGCCTCTTACACTACCACGGTAAATACATACACTACCACGGTATATACATACACTACCACGGTATATACATACACTACCACGGTATAACTGATTCGCTGATAAACCCTCACTGATTCGCTGATAAACCTTCACTGATTCGCTGATAAACCTTCCCTGATTCGCTGATAAACCTTCCCTGATTCGCTGATAAACCTTCCCTGATTCGCTGATAAACCCTCACTGATTCGCTGATAAACCCTCACTGATTCGCTGATAAACCCTCACTGATTCGTTAATTAACCTTTTATGGTAGCTGACGGATCCTTGGTCGAAAAACTTTCGCACCGTGATCTTATATCTATGCACTCACAGGAATTAGAGGTGCTTTGTCCAAATAGCAATCCAAAGTCTAGGATTATCGGCGATGACACGCCTTTGAGCGGACATAACACTTCAGCTACGTGGCTACCGCCATTTACCCTTTATCTGGCTGGATAATTTATTATCATTATTTTTTAATAATAATAAGTTATGCAGACTATACCAAGGGTATCCATGTATTAGTGTGTTTGTAGGCTACATAACTTGACAACGTTTTTAACGTACCAAGTGCATGCTAAGTTGTACCTCTTGGCAGTCCGACAAGAGTGGCCGCCTAACTACGCGTATACGAGAAAATTTTTAGCCCTCTACCGCCTGACATGAGTAACCAGAGCAATATTATCACACAAGTCTACCCAAAAAGGATACGTTGTTTGTGAGCGCAAAATGACTTGCACTGATGGTTGCCGCCACGTACGACAACTTTAAAATGATCTCTTTTGCGCACAAACGTCCTCAGGTTGCTACACTCAATAGTTTACGTATAATTCAAGTTGAAAATTTTTATCTGGGAGAGTGACATACTGCGGTAGAGGGTTAAGGAAATTGAACATAATTTTGGTGTCGTAATAATGCTGTTGTTCTCCCTCCTCCCGCAGGTCGTTCGGGGTGCTGCTGTGGGAGGTGATGTCGCTGGGTTACATGCCCTACCCGGGACGTGGCAACAGGGACGTCATGCAGCTGGTCACGAACGGGGGACGCTTGGAGCCCCCGTCCCACTGCCCCCCGCAGATATACAGGATCATGACACAGTGCTGGCACCCGCAGCCTGAAGAGCGACCCACTTTTGTCACCACCGCTGAGAGACTCGGCTACTGTCTCCAGGTGGGTCAGGGGAGACAGGTGGGCTACTGTCTCCAGGTGGGTCAGGGGAGACAGGCGGGCGACTGTCTCCAGGTGGGTCAGGGGAGACAGGCGGGCTACTGGGGTGACAGGCGGGCTACTGTCTCCAGGTGGGTCAGGGGTGACAAACGGGCTACTGGGGTGACAGGCGGGGTACTGTCTCCAGGTGGGTCAGGGGAGACAGGCGGGCTACTGTCTCCAGGTGGGTCAGGGGAGACAGGCGGGCTACTGTCTCCAGGTGGGTCAGGGGTGACAGGAGGGGTTACTGTCTCCAGGTGAGTCAGGGGTGACAGACGGGCTACTGTCCCCAGGTGGGTCAGGGGTGACAGACGGGCTACTGTCTCCAGGTGGGTCAGGGGAGACAGGAGGGGTTACTGTCTCCAGGAGGGTCAGGGGTGACAGACGGGCTACTGTCTCCAGGTGGGTCAGGGGTGACAGACGGGCTACTGTCTCCAGGTGGGTCAGGGGTGACAGAAGGGGTCTGTCTCCAGGTGGGTGGCTACCGTCTCCAGGTGGGTGGCTACTGTCTCCTGGTGGGTCAGGGGTGACAGCTGGGCTAGCCTAAAATAAAACCGACTCTGGCTAGCCTAACATCAAACAGACACAGGTTAGCCTAACATCAAACAGACAAGGCTAGCCTAACATCAAACAGACACAGGCTAGCTTAACATCAAATAGACAAGGCTAGCCTAACATCAAACAGACAAGGCTAGCCTAACATCAAATAGACACAGGCTAGCCTCACATCAAATAGACACAGGCTAGCTTAGCATCATACACAGTCTAGCCTAACATCATACACAGGCTAGCCTAACATCAAACAGACACAAGCTAGCCTAACATCAAACAGACACAGGTTAGCCTAACATCAAACAGACACAGGTTAGCCTAACATCAAACAGACACAGGCTAGCCTCACATCAAACAGACACAGGCTAGCCTAACATCAAACAGACAGGCTAGCCTAACATCAAACAGACAGGCTAGCCTCACATCAAACCAAAGGCTAGCCTAACATCAAATATACGCAGGCGGCGAAGCGTGCGTTTCCAAGCGGCCGAGCAGCGCCGGCGTATATAGGCTTAGCCGTCGCCATGGCAACGCGCCTTCCTATGCCGCTGGGCGCAAAAATCCAAAGTAGAAATTTGCCTTCAAAGGTCGAAATGTTTGCTTTGAATGTTTAATTCGATTTCTGCGAGGCTGTTTAGTTCCTGGTTGTAGTTTAGCATGAACCTGAGGGTTAATTCGAGGAAATAACCTTTAGTATTAATTGCAATTGTTGACCTTGTATATTTGCTGTCTCGTCGAAGGCAAATTGAAGGCCGGTAAAATAGAGGATAAGTTTCTTCGAAGGTCTCCAGATGTCAGTGAGGAGAATGTCATTAATGAGGCCGTAAACAGAGTAAAACTTTCCTGGTATATATTATATATTTGTTATTCAAGTTGTTTCTTAAATTATTTATAAGCGAACTCAATGCAAATCTTCTTTCAAAGTTTCTGTAATTGAGCTCTAATTAACTAATTAACTAGCACTAATTAGCATTAAGCAGAGACATACTTAGAAAAAGAAGGTATTATTGCTTACTGTATCAAAGGAATAGTTTTAATTTCTTGCCTGTTTATGACGCTAAACTTTGTCCTCGTTAAAACTAATGCTTTGTTATTGTCCAAATTTCCAGTTTGGCTCATTAATAAATATTTTTTTTCAGCTCTTTATTTGATAAAACATTAAGATAATTAATTCTTGTTTTTGTTCTGTACCCCCATTGTTATTGTTGTTCTAATTCGTTCTTGTTATTGCTCTGTACCCCCAGGACCCCGACGTGGTCAACTCCCCCCTCCCCATCTTCCAGCGGCCCCCCTCCACGGAGCGGGACACCACCGTCATGAGGCCTCGAGATGAGGACTCGACTTGGCTCACCCTCACACGTCCCCTTGAGGAACACGCAGTCCCTCAGTCCCCAGGCTCCCAGGACTACCTCATCCCCTTGCCTTCCTCATGCAGCTTGGCCACCGTTAGATCTGAGCTCAACTCTTCCCCATCCCTTGAGTGCTGCCAGATGGAAAGGCTCTTGGAACAGGATCCTATTCCCCTTCCCTTGTCCCCACCAGACTGGGAGACCAGCTTCACAACCGAGCCTGGGGAACAACCTATTCCTCCCATCCTGCCTACGGCCACTACTCCTCTTCTCCTCTCCCCTCCTGACAGTCCACTTCCCCAAGAGGTTGGGGAATGTCTACTCCAACCTGTTACTTCCCCTCAGACCCTATTGGGGGCTATAGACCCCCAGCCCTCGGTATCCATATTACCCAACCTAGACCCTGCTGTTCTGATACCCATGCAACCAATGGGTGCTTCGGCTGTCACAACCACAACAACCACGGCTACTCCAACCAACTCTGGTAGCAAGAGGTCGTCTCTACACCACTACCACCCACACCGCTACAACAACAACAGTAACAACAACAGCAGTAGCAGCGGTGGTGGTGGCGGTGGTGGTGGTGGAGGTGGTGGCAGTAGTTCTACAGGCAGCAGTAGTAGTGGTAGTAGTGGTGGAAGTAGCAGTAACAGTAGTGTAAGTACGTTACCATTAGACGCATCGACGTTACCATGTACTACGGCTATCCCGCCGCCCCTGCAATACGTTAACGTCGAAGTCACTAAGCGCGGTCCTGAGTATAACGAAGCTTACGTCATCCATGAAACGCGCGAACATCGCGAGATTTCCTGTTAGGCACGAGAATTATATACATATTTATACTTGTTTTATTGTAACACATAAAATCTATATTTTTAATCTATTGATAGTGTTTAAAATAGCGTGAGGAAATTTTAACGAGGGCATCTGAACATAGGCCGTGCAGACTCCGTACTTTACAGCGTGCAAATGACGCCGGAAAAACGTTTAAATACCGTTAATCCAACGGTTAATTCGACGTATTGTATCTGGTTTGTCAGATGTGGCAAGCGAAACTGTTGCATTTGTCGTCAATGAATGATGACTAAAGATGAATTGAATAATCAATATTGCTTCAAAATATTAGACTTCTTCACTCGAGTTGACTGAAAAAACACTGCTGGTGTTTCAGAAACAGTAAAGGCAAAATAAATAATAAAAATAAAAAACGAACACCGACATCAGAATACTCTAACGTGCACGCCAACTTGACTGATATTGGCAGAAATGCGAGAATTTTTTTAATATGAATTTAATTAACTTATAGAGATGCTGTTATAGAGAGCGAGATGATGCAGCGCTCGTCACTATCAGTGGCTGGGGGCATGTGTGTTTGTGCTCAGTTGGTGATGTCATCACATTTCTGACTCAGAATATCAAGAAGTTCTTGTAATCGTGGGAAAAACATAATAACAACATAATTATTCAACGTAAAAATTCAACATGGTAATTCAACATAATAACTTAACATAATAATTTAAGATAATAATTCAAACTAATAATTCGACATAATAATTCAACATAATAATTCAAAATAATAATTCAACACAATAATTCAACATAATAATTCAATATAATAATTCAACGTAATAATTCAGCATAATAATTAAACATAATAATTCAACATAATAATTCAACACAATAATTCAAGCAACAAAATATTCTTCAAGCCTTCGCTAACAAGACCGGAGAACGAGCTAATGTACAATATATATGGCTGAACATCTTACTGATATTCACTTTTTATTTTAGCCATTAATGTCATAATTCAAATTAGTTCATTTGATTTAAGTCACCTCGAAGTTTCCTGCAAAACTCCTACATGCATTGATGTTGAATAATTCATACGTGAAATTATTAACTTAATATTTTCAATCAATTTATTCTAGTCAAAGCATAATATTGAATACTTTAGGGACTTACACGATAATAAATGTGTGCCGTGTTTGGGGCGCCTTATCGCCGGCCATTGCTTGGCCACAGATAACCAGCCAGTATTTTTTATATGTGCTAAAAATATGAGATTATTCGGTTCTTGTCATGTCAAGTGACAGTTTGACTTGTCAAGAGACGGCTTGACTTGTCAAGTAAAAACTTGCCGTGTCAAGTAAAAACTTGCCGTGTCAAGTAAAAACTTACCGTGTCAAGTAAAAATTTGCCTTGTCAAGTAAAAACTTGCCTTGTCAAGTAAAAACTTGCCGTGTCGAGTAAAAACTTGCCGTGTCATACCGTGTCAAGTAAAAATTTGCCGTGTCAAGTAAAAACTTACCGTGTCAAGTAAAAATTTGCCGTGTCAAGTAAAAACTTGCCGTGTCAAGTAAGTTCTTGTGTCGTCAAGCATGTATCTTTCATGGCGGTTTCTTACCGAGAGTGTGTGAACGTATCTTCACATTTCACGTATCCTAGAAGTAAGAAGAAAGAATTTCTAGCACATCTCGTGCATGTGTCATAAGGGCTGAAGCATCATCTAGAACTATTCAGGAAGATTCAGGCTCTAGCTAGAGCAGTTTCTCTAACAGGATACAATTTGTCTCTCAAAATAGGTTCATAAAAAATTTCCAGCATTTGCCCATGAAATGGTAGGTGAACAATTTATTTTTTACAAAATTTCTTTCTTCGTCAAAAGTTATGCATTAGTAGTTGCTAATTTTCTATGGTTTGGACTCAAGTTTAAGTTTTGACCTAATAACCATTCAGCTGTAACAACAGTCTGAACGCGTATCAAACATGCTATAGACCTGCATGCGTGTCTAACATGTTATATGTATATACGCCGGTACGCATATAAACCATGTTGCACACGCTGGCACGATTATTTAACATGTTCTACACTAGTACAAACATTTCATATGTTCAATGCAGTACTCGGGGAAGAAATTACATACGTGCAGTACGTGTTTCGACATGGTCTTTGCTTTTACTCATGTTTGACATGTTTTTGACACGTATATGTTGTAAACATGTTGCATATATTGGGCACCTATAGCCTTGCAGTCGCCTAGTTTGTTAAACTTATACGACGCTAAAATGACCTCCGCACTATGAACATTGGTGCAATTTGCCGTGCTTTAAAAGCGATTTTGTTAAGAACACTGGGCGACAATACACATACCTAGTTGCAAGAGAGGGTGTGAGAGGCAGAACAAATTAATTTATTATTTATTTGGGCAGAACAGATTTCTCATAGTTTCGTTTGAAAACAAAATCGCAAAATATTATCCCAAATCTATGGTGTAAAGTACAGTGAGATGAACCACTATACTACAAAACCTCTTATACTACAGCCATCACTCATGGTTTTCACTATGCCCAATAGTCATTATAAAATATATCTCACTGCAAGTGTTCCGTAAGATAAACATACACTGTGTATTACTGTGTGCCAATGTGTCACGTTGTGTCAACTAATAACTGCTGTGCCAAGTAGCAAACAGGGTAAATGTTTGATATTATCCTCAATCAATTATAGTTTTCACATGACGAAAGATGAAGCCAAAGTTAATTTCAACGATTCATTTGTCGTTTATGCTCTAAGCTCGATTTATTGGCCCAATTGTGACGTAATCAACGCATTGTTTTTTAGTGCAACTTTTTAAACTAAAGTCTGCTACATTATAACACATACTCATACTCAAATTATTTAATCATCTTATATTCCAACACTCGTCTTAGATACCCACTCTAATTTTCAGTAACCTCACTTATTTCGATACCTAAACCCGTCTTAGTTACACACTCTCATCTCATATGCACTCTCTCATTATCGACACATATTTCTTACAATTTCTTCGGGCAGTCATAATACCCTGGTACTGTATAGGGAACTACGTCGTATGGGACTTACGATGTCATGTGGGACTTACGATGTCATGTGAGACTTACGATGTCATGTGGGGCTTACGATGTGCTATGGAAAATACAATGTCCTGTGGGACTTGCTATGAAATCTGAGACTTACGATATCCTGTGGGACTTAATATGCTGCGTGGAACCCACAATGTCGTTTGGAGCTTACAATATTGTACTTGAATTGCGACTTAATGCAAAATTTAAAATGTCGTACATTATTGGCACGTGGTCTGTATCACTATTCAGTTGCCTCGTTGATGTCTATGGAATTGCAGGGAATTAAACCGTAATATGTGTGTTGTACATAACGATTACATACTGTCAGCACGTACACGACGTGTGTGCTGACGTTTCTTGCATCAGTGCACATGTGTAAGTGTTTGTGCGTGTGCGCACGTCTGCATAAGTGTGTGGACGTAAGTATACGTGCGCGTGAATACGTGTAGAAAGAAGTAAGTGTGAGTGTTCGTATATAAAGAAATTTATTTGAAGCGTGTTAAGGAGGATTACTTGTCATACATCACATGTCATACCACATCACACGCCATATATCACATGTTATACATCACATGTCATACGACATCACATGTCATACGACTAACATGTCATACGACATCACATGTCATACGACATCACATGTCATACGACATCACATGTCATACGACATCACATGTCATACGACATCACATGTCATACGACATCACATTTCAAACGACATCACATGTCATACNACGCAGTTACTCCGAGTTACCCAGTTACTCCGAGTTACCCAGTTACTCCGAGTTACCCAGTTACTCCGAGTTACCCAGTTACTCCGAGTTACCCAGTTACTCCGATTTACCCAGTTACTCCGAGTTACCCAGTTGGTAACAGCTCACTGAAGCATAACCTAGCACTGGTATTTTTAACGATACTTAATGCACATCGCTAATTATCTTCATTTTAATTGTAAATCTTATTATTGTTCTGCACATCGCTGTGAGGGGAAGTACAAAATATTCTACGGCACTCAACCGCTTAAATTCAATCTTTATTAAATTATTTATATAAGTAAATGTTATTTTCTGTTTTAATTATCTATTTATTTTCAATCGTGTAACATTGAATTCGTACAAAAATAAAAGTTCTTAGCCTTATTGGTTGGGTTGAACGCACCTGCCGATACCTCAACCACTGTACTATTCCTACCTGTACTTAACAACTCTACTGACACGCGAACTATTCCTCTTATTCACTGTACTATTCCTACCTGTACTTAACTCTACTGACACGCGAACTATTCCTCTTATTCACTGTGCTATTCCTACCTGTACTTAACTCTACTGACACGTGAACTATTCCTCTTATCCACTGTACTATTCCTACCTGTACTTAACTCTACTGACACGCGAACTATTCCTCTTATTCACTGTGCTATTCCTACCTGTGCTTAACTCTACTGACACGCGAACTATTCCTCTTATTCACTGTGCTATTCCTACCTGTACTTAACAACTCTACTGACACGCGAACTATTCCTCTCATTGACTGTGTTATTCCTACCCGAATTTAAAATTTACCATTTGCTGCCAGAATAAAGAAATTTGTGACCACACAAGGCAATTCCTACGTGAAAGAGTAAACGATTGTGTAAGATTGTATGATAACAACATTAATGTGTACAGTACAGCGTGTATTATTCTTACATACTAGTGAGTAAGTATGTATCTCTGACACTGAAATAAATGTCGGAACAAATCGTATGTACATTTCAGTAGGTAACGTACATGTCGCGAGCTTATCTCCTTCGTATTGGCTTGTGTGAACTACTCATAACTTGTGTGAATGTGTGAACTTGTATATTGTCATACATATTCATGTCCCGCCCGGCTATGTTATAATATATCACTGCTATACCGAGCGGTTATGGGGGGAGGTGTACGGGGGATATACTCGAATTATATAATAAACTTATAATGAAGTATACTATCGGATCATGAGTATACATTAGATGAATATCTTGGATACACCGTTTCATTCATATGAATGGAAGTGAGGTAT